GAATGATTCTATAGGGTATCTGGTCCTGCAGGTCTCTAATAGGGTGATAGAATGATTCTATAGGGTATCTGGTCCTGCAGGTCTCTAATAGGGTGTGTAACATTGGTTGGGCTGAATATTAGCTGTTCTATGAGCCCTAATGCAGCCTGGTTAAAAGCCCTAGAATGAAACCACAGGTTTCCTTCCTTTTCTTCCTGATCATGAATATTTAGATGAGCTGTGCTCTGATTGGTTGGTTTACAACGAGTGAAGCTGCTGAGCAAAGACGCATCATAGCAACAAGCACCCACTCACTGAAACATCAGATTGTTGATATGGTAGGGGGACCAGACGTCCTACTTTTTCTGTGACATGTCCTACCTTTCAGACCTAAAAAAATGTCCGGGGGGGAATTTAAAAATCATCCGGGATATTGGTCGACTACAGTGCAAAACTATAATCTAATCCACACATTGTGCAAGAATTATTGTAATCCCTGCACGCTCTCACTCACTGTAAATAACCGGTGAGCTGGTCTGTATCGCACTTTCGGAGCGTGACAAAAGTCCAGGCCAGAACCAAATAAGCAACATCCCAGAGTTGAGGTCAACTCGTTGCTTTGTTTGCATTCGGCCGTTTTATGGTGGAAGTTAAGAATTGTGAGATTTGCAGAGAAAGGAGGCGTTGATGGGGTTTGAACTTCTCTGTACGTCCATTTCACCCACTGAACTATCGTTATTCATCTGTTACCATGGAAACTAGGTTTTGCATTCTATGATCCAGCAGAGGTCACGTCATGGATCATCAGGTTACTTTCCTAAACTCTCAAAACTTTTTGGCAATAATCTGTAAATGAACCTGTGGGTTGTAGGAACGCTCCAATATCTTAAGTTATTTAGACTTTTAAATCGTGTTGCTTTGGTTCTGCGTTAAACACACGGTGGGATCTGTTATGCGTCTGTGTTGCAGACCAGTTCATATTTCTTGTTTGATATAAATCTTTGTTTAGGGAAGCCGGTGAACTTTGACCATTACCAGGACGTCCATGTTCCCGCTGTTATCCTGAAGACGTTCCTCAGAGAGCTTCCAGAGCCGCTCCTCACCTACAGAGTCTACGGCCAGGTCCAGGAGCTCCTCAGTGAGTAAAGCTCCTCAGACCGATTCAGGCTCTCAGCCGGCGGCTTTTCAGTGACTCTGAATGAACCTTCCAGATGTGGAGAGCAGCCTGCGGGCGTCCAGATGCAAACAGCTGGTGGAAAGTCTTCCTGAGCACAACTTCATCGTGCTGAAGTTCCTCGTCTGTTTTCTGCACATGGTGAGTCTGACTGACTGAGTGAAAGTTCAGATTCAGCATCAACCAGAGATGCTCTGATACCGATAATCCAAATGATTGTCAGAGAGAACCGTAATAAACTATAAGAAAAGCTGTCCTCATTATTATTAATCAAAGGTACATAAACTGTAGAGATTTATATGCAGGCTGATGTATTCAGATAAGATCAGAACATTTATGGCCTCAACTATCAGCTAATTCCTCCGAATTGTTTTCTGAGTTAACGTCCTTCTGAGAAATCACAGATATTAGAAAAAAGGCATATCGATGATTAAAGGAAACTAAACCACAGATATTGTAGAAAATTAAAGGTAGTCAACAGAATACATTCAATTTTATCAGTTTAGTTAACTTTAAGCCTATGTATCATGTGTTTTCTATAAATATTTTATTTTTATATTGTATCATTTAATGTTTCTTTTATGTTTTTTACCAATAATTTGAACCTTAATTTTTAAATCCTCTTCCTCTCAGAAACTTTATATTCAATTATATTTGATCAGTTTTAAATATATTTATAAATGTATTCCAAGCTATAAAAGTCGAGATTTTTTCAACATTCTGGTCTAATTTAATAAAGATATAAGATTTTAAAAAGCTTTTAAAGAGCTGAAACTGATCATGAATATTTAAACTGCTGGATTTTATAATGTTTATCTAACCAGGGTTATTAAAATTTAAAGGTTGGTTATTTTTTGTTGCTTTGTTCTATGTCTAGATTATGTTTTTAAGCCAATGCATTTAAAAATCAAAGTATTAATAAACTTTAGTCTGATGAAGCTGAATGGTCGTTAGCTTAACGGTGTTTGGGTTCCTTCAGGTTTCTCAGGAGAGCATCATCAACAAGATGAGCGCCTCCAACCTGGCGTGCGTCTTTGGCGTGAACCTGGTCTGGCCTCGCCACGCCTCCATCTCCCTGAGCGCCCTGACGCCCATCAACATCTTCACCGAGATCCTCATCGAACACTTCGCCACCGTGTTCGGCTCCCGCTGCCCACCTGCTCAGGTAACCCCGTGATCCAGGAGGAACGCTTCGGAGATCTGTTACACATTTTTATTATCAGAACACTAAAAAAACTACCTTTGAGATTTATATTTTTATGCAGGAATCGGTTTTTCTTTTTCATTGAAAATATTTAATGTGTTTAAATAAATAAAACCCAAACTCTAGAGATAATAATTAAAACTTTCTGTACATGTTGTTTGTAAGTGAAATAAATTGCGTCACAATGTAAAAATCCTTTGAATATCAACCATCTTTTCTGGCTTTAAAACCCAAATATCAAATATAAAACTCCTGGTTTTATTTTAGTCTTAAAGGTTTCTGATAAAATTCTTTGAATCAAACCCAAATTATAATTTTACTAATTATTTTCTGGTTTAATTGACTTTAATTCAGTTTTAAGAAACTAGACACGCTTATTTGCTTTATGTTTTTATAGATTATTCAACTCTACAATCTTTTTATATTAAGTACTGCATTTGTTTGATTTTAAAAAGTTATACTTTTAATTTCCAGTCCTACTCTAAATCTGAAATAGTTCAAGCAGGAGAGGAATTAAACTGGAAGAAAATTCACAAACGGATCTTTTTGTTCTTGAATTTAGTTTATTAATGATTCCATGTTTTTATAAGAACTTGGTACAAAAGGTGAGACTACTCTTCAACCATCCATCCTTCCATTAATCAGCGATTTAATGCATCAGAAAGAAGGAAAAACTACGTTGGCATATTTAAGACAAACACTTTCCTATACACACTATCCACTGGACGGTTCCTGGTTTCCACCGACGGACAGAAACGTCTACTTCACCTCCATCTACACAAACTGTTCTGGTTTCTCTTGGCTCCGATAAAAGAATATAAAAATGTTTTTTTTTTTTTCTTTCTTTTTTTTTTGTTCAAATGTTGTGTTGTGTAGTAAAATAGATCTGTTTAAGCACTGCACAGTTTCTCCCGGAGAAGATTCCTAGAAACGGATGATGGAGGAGGAGGAAGGTGGGTTTCTCTCCTCCGTTATTCTTTTTTTAAATGTGTGAAACGTCGATGCGTCAAAAAGAACTGATATGGTTTCCATCGGTTTGGACGTTCTACCTCTACGGTGAGGACTTGATATGCATCACATGGCACATTTCAAAATAAAAGCCCTCTGATTGTGACAGATAATTTTATTCTCATGAAGGCAGGTTGGACTCTGAAGGAGCTTCGCTGGGAAGAATAAAAGGTAATCAGATCTGATTAAATATTAGTTTTCTTCTTTTATTTGTTCATAAAGACCAAAGTGACTCGATTTAAGTGACGGAGGCTTTGAAACGCAGAAACTTTTGATTGATCCAAACATGTTAGGAGCTGTTAACCAATTAGATGAGGGGAAATTTATCCATGATAGCAGCTGTAAAACCTCTGCATCCTAAATGATTTTAGATTTAAGTCTTTTAACTGGGACTTTCAGAATAAAAGCCTCCGTTGTATTTTCATTGGACTGACCTGTTTCTCTGAACAGATCCTGCAGCGTCGATCCTTCAGAGACCAAACAGGTGAGTCGGATATGATTCTAATAAAAGGCGTTTTTTTTCTTCTTCTTTGTCTCTAACTTCTCCTTTTTTTTTTTTTGTTCATGTTTGTGCATCAGAGCGCCGCACCTCGACTGATGGGTGAGTACAGTACCACAAATAAAAAAACAACAACAAAGTAAACGGCAGCGATGAGGCGGGACGTCTCCGGACCGGCAGGAAGACTCGCGACTGTTGTTGCAGCTCGACGGAGACGTCCTGCTTTCCTCTTTAAATATATATAAAAAATATGAACCGACGCAACAAAAGACAGAAACCCTGAAACGATGTGAGGCAGTGTTCATCCGTCGCTCAGAATACACAGAAAATGTAAGACACCAAAAAAAAAGGACGTTTTTGGCATATTTTCCATACTGGTTAAAGTGGGAGGGGCTAAATGGATGCATCACATGTCGACTGGAAAAAGATTTGACTTTTTATTTCTTAAAGATGCAGAAACTAAAAACAAGCAAATGTTTCAGAAAACGTTGCTGAAGTGTTTAGTCTTTATATGGTCCCTGCAGCTCCCCAGAAACAGTTTAAAGGGGTTTTCTATTTGTTGTACTTAAATACTTTAAAGTTTAATTGACTTTGTAAGATTAAACTTCAGCATTTACATAGAATTTAAGTCCAGACTTTAATTGGTCCGCTCCAAAGCATCACATTTTCTTTATTCGAGATGTTTGTCTGTGACACCTGCAGGAGCAATTTTGATAAACCGATTAGAAATGATCTTATAATCCATAGATGTCAATTTTCCCTGTATGTTATTACATCAGGGTGTGAAATGTTATTTATTGATTCTTCTGGTTGGACAACTATGAACCTGAAGGTAAAGAAAAGGGTTTAGCTTCTTTTTTTTTTTTCCTCACCACAAAAATTAATTTAAAGTCGTAGGGAAGTCATTCTGGCCTAAACATGTATATAAATGTGCGGTTTATCAGACGATAATGTCTATTTTTAAAACGATCCTGTCTGAACACCTAAATTCGGCCAATCAAAGCATCTTGATTCATGTGTCGCAGCTAATATATGCAACGGTTGAAACCAGAATCCTTTCCTTTCCCATTGAGTTGCGTCCCAGTGTTCACGGGGATGGACGTCTGTGTCTTCGGCAGGCGTAGAGCTAACAGAACTGGCAGCGTTGCGAGGCAAGGGCTCAAACATGTACGGCTGGAAGCCTTCTACACCAAACCAAGCTTCTGCCGCCCTGGCGTCCTCTTCCACAACATCTTCGTCCCCGCTTTCCTCCTCTAAATAAAAAATGGATGACGGAGGAGACTCATCCACGACCTCCGACACTAAACTCTCCTCCTCTTGCATGTTTCCGCTGTCCATAGCGTTCCTTGACAGCGTCGTTTCTAAGGCACCAATTTAGTGCTACTTGGTCCCAATGGAAACCTACTAGCGCTAACTGGTTAGCAAGATGCTTCCCTACGACTTTAATCAGAAATATTTTAGACAAAAGAAAACCACTTTGTCTTGATAATGCGACACAGATTTGTTCAACTTGCACTTTTGCCGTAGTGTTTGACACCTTTATTTTTAATCTGGACTGCTTTGTTTCTGCATCTTAAAGTAAAGTTAAACTCTTCCACTTCAGATGTGATGATGATGAAAGCACGTATGTACAGTGATCCCCTCCAATACTCCAAACTTACATTTATCAACAGGCATCAGCATGAAAATACTAAAATCTGCACTAAAAAGCTAATTTCTGTAGCTTAATCTTAAATACTTTTTTTCTTTGACTTTTACTCTATAAATACTGAGAAAATCGTAGTTCTCTGTTTTGTTTGAAGGCTCGTCTGCGTTAACGCGTGGAAACGTCTTCCTGAAGTCGTATGGCAGGAACTTTGTTCACAGGAGGATGAAAACGAACGTCTACTTTGATAAATCCCGTACAGCCGCTCCGCCACCTGACCGCGCAGGTTTAGGGAACGTCGGACGCTGGATTCTAGCGGTTCGTAATAAATACATTAAGGCGAAGAATAAATAGAAAATAACTTAAAAAAAATCTCGTAAGCACTGTAGGTGTTGGGTTTGAAAAACGCTTCAGATGGTGGATCTAGTTGGTAACGTCGTCTTGGCTCGGCTGAAGCGGCGCGGCGCTGGTGGGTTTCATCCACAGCTGGGGTAGCTTGGCGACGGTCGTCATGGTGACCTGGACCAGCTGGTCTCGCTGGATGAGCCTGATGAGCGTTTTTAGACGGTCGAGCGACGCCTGAGTGTCCCTCTGCAGCCCGAGGAGCCGATCCCTCTGATCCATGCAGACCTGCGGAGAAACAGGAAGTTTGAGCTGATTGGTTGGATGCAGCGTTTCATTAAACCACCATCCAATCAGAGCACTCCTTCCTAATATCACGTTCAGATGGGTTGAAGACAGGAAATCAAAATACCAAGTGGTGCGTTCACTTGCGCAGGTTAGTTCACCGGCCTTCCTTTTCAGATGCGCAGTGTTTACTATGGGAGCAATATTATCTGCAAATGTGTAGATCAGTCTGTAAACACAGAGTCACTCAAGTTTGAAGTATTTTTGCTTCCACACCCAGAAATGCAGACAAATCATTGGTTAGAGATCGAGCAGTTTCTCAGTTGACTCTCTTTACACATGATTTTTGCTACACTTCTGCCGTCTGAGATCTGCAAACGTGTAGAAAGGATTAGCATGTGTAATATCTTGATTTGCTGCGCAGGCTTACGGCAGACAGTTTATCATATAATCAGCTTTTTTGACTAAACTANACTAAACTATGACTGGTAGAAATAACGATTCATTTGAGATATCTCTAAAGCCATTGTTATTTCTTCTAGTCATAATTTAATTTCAGGATAGTCAAAACTTTTTCTTTGATATCTTAGAAGTAGTTATGGTCAGAAAAGCTGATTATATGATAAACGATCTGCCATAGGGCTGCAAATCAAGATATTACACATGCTAATCCTTTCTACACGTTTGCAGAAGCGTAGCAAAAGTCGCATGTGTAAAGAGAGTCAACCGAGAAACTGCTCGATCTCTAACCAATGATTTGTCTGCATTTCTGGGTCTTGAACTGAAAATACTTCAGATTTAAGTGACTCTGTGTTTACAGACTGATCTACACATTTGCAGATAATATTGCAACAGTGTTGCTCCCATAGTTTACACCCTGGACCGCATCATCAAATGCAGAGTCAAGGCGATTCCAAAGTTTTTCATAGAGAATAACTCAGCAGCAGTCCGTGATGTTAAGTTTCACCTTTGCTTTTATTGTGAAATGCTGTGGGGTCTGTTGATTTATTAATGCACTAACTTTAGATCAGGAAACGAGCGCAGCACTAAGGTAATTAAAAATCCAAATCAACACAAACGAAGTATAGAATTTTTATTGAATTCGGAGCTTAAAGGGGAACACTGTTTTTTTTTCCATTATTCCATCATGTTCTACTCTCCCATCTGAGTTTAGTGTCATTTGGAGCCGTTAGG